TTCCAGATTTTGAGTTCACATTCACGTTTAAGTCCACGATTATTAAGACATCAACTGTGGTATTTCAGGTTCAGCGGACAAATCGCAGCCGGTGTCAAGGTGTTCACATCAACTCTCAATCAGATGATCGTTGAGTTCTATACGGATTCACTCAGTCAGGGATCAGGATTCTCTGCTCAGGCAGTCAATGCGGGACAATGATCTGACAGACATTCAAGGCACATTTCCCTAGATAGAGGTAGTGGGGTCAAAAATCGAAGGTGTATATATGTGTCAACATACATAAAAATAATAAAGTTTCCGTCGTTGATCGATCCTGTTTTTGGATGCGGCACGCATTCTACTTACATGCAGAATCGTGGTGACTTATTGAGGACTTGGGGAGGCCAGCCAATGTGCAGGTCAGGGGTCTTATCCTCATAAACGAATCTGGAAACCATTTACCGTCCAAGGAGGATGGAAGGCTTGACTAGCCGATCCGGGGTTTGACCCCCTCTGACTGTGATAAGCGTGCCACTTGCCAGTACATCATCTCCGCCTCATGCGGGTTTTATACGTTGCCAAAAAGGACAAAATAAGATTCATATATTTAAACTCTTTCTCAAAGATATGAACATGGAAACTTACAGGACCATAGAACCCATAAGGAACAGAAATTTACAGAAGTACAGAACCCATAGAGGAATACAAATTCACAAGAGAACACAACCCACTGGAGCTTTGATTCTAGGGTAATCGCGTCAAAACTGGCAATCTAGAGACATAACTGACTAGAGCTCTCACCAAATGCGCACGTTTTTTCCAAGAAACTACAGTCTGGTTCGCTGCGGATGATGGGGCGTGCTGCGCAGCTGCGCTCGACACGCCACCAAATCCACTCTCCAACAGTTGTTTGAGCGGGTAATTGAAAACTGGACGGTACAGCCTGCCGCTTACCCAAAGAAAAAAAAAACAAAAAAAAAAACAGTTTGGTGCCACGTCAAACGCAGCCGTGCGGAACACGTCCATCGCCAGCAGCAAACCAAAGTATAGGACCAGCGATTCACATATACACACAGTCAGAATGTATGCTGATGATGCGTCTCTGCGGATTCTTCAGTGGCCGAAGCTGCAGTAGAGGCTGTAGGTTGACGAAGCAACGGTGTGACCTCTGGCGGTTGGAGGACTACGTCGCGAAGGTATCGATGGCCCAATGCTGCTTTCGCTGTGATTCGAGTTTCAGGAGCATAGCGCAACATTTCCTATAAACAAGTATGATGCAATAATGAAAATGTAAAAGTAAACACCCGAGAAGATTCAAAAAATTAAGCATTCGTACTTCGCGATGACGCGCGCCGACGCGCTGGGACGCGCTGCAATGTGCATCGGACGCGCGTCCATCGCGATGGCTGAACCCTGAGACCTTAGGCAGAAGAATTTGAGAAAAAAAAAACTATCATTTTAAGGCAGAAATGAATTTATGCAAACGCTTTTGCTTACTTTGAGAAGGTCTACTCCACACTCTGTCATTGGAGAAGTTGCTTCCATGAGAGCCTTCTCGTTATATGCCCACTTTGGAAATGATCTCTTGTAGTCTTGCAATTTCTCCACACCAGCCCATATCTGAACAATGTCCAAAATCAACAACTGATAGCTGACGGCGAAAAAAATGAGTCCAATAGAAATAACCTCTGGAGTAGGCGTTCCAAGAATTTTGAATATACGGAACAGCTGATCAATTTCGGAGTCACCGGCAAAGAGAGGACGACCAGAAACCATTTCCGCGAATATACAACCTAGACTCCACACATCAATGGCGGTTGAATAGTAACGCCCTCCCAACAGGATCTAAAAGGAGTTCAATAGTTGTCAGGGAAGGATGGAAGATGGTGAGGTCGACAGCTTCATATGTACTCACCTCGGGTGCTCGGTACCATAGTGTAACAACCTCATGGGTATACACACGACTTGGAATGGAAAAATTCCTGCAAAGGATACAGCGATTTCACATAGCTGCACAAGGCGATTAAGAACGCCTTTTTGACATATGATATTTTCAACTAATCATAATTAAAGAATTTGTAAAAGAATGCCTAGTGTACAATTTTGGGATAGCCTTTTAAATGCACTTTCCGCGATCAAATGATACGTGGAGTGCCTCCTCGCAACTGATGGCCGGGTCTGTGGCCGCAAAGTGCACCACTTTCGTCTCTCGAAAGTACGGGATAAAGGCGACAAAGACGCTTAACCTGCATCCTTGCTGCCTATATTTCACCACACGACAACAACTTACACCGTTAATTACCGCGCGTGTTGCCTGCTGCGTCGTAAGCCGATTTTACGTGCTCGTCGTGAATACAGTTGGCTGTTCACCTTTTGCACCTCATCAGTCGTTCTTCGGAAGTCGTCCTTAGCAGTACACCTCGCAAGGTAAGATGCGTTCTAAGAGCACTTAAATCCACCAAGGAGGCAGAAGTTCGTCGTTCATTGCTTAGTCCCAGTCTTAGAACTTTCGTGAACTAATTTCTTTTGCGAGTTTTGCGGGTGTTATTTTTTTCTGGATGACATTTACAATTCAGTGACGCAAAGAAACGAATCGTGATCCTGTAGCGCAAATGTGTCACAACAGTCGTAGGCAAGTTCAACAAGTCTGGAAAACTCGTACAGCGAGAGTGCAACACACCGAACGTTGAGATTTTAGTTAGGTCTTATTAACGGCTTCTGTTTTTCTTGTAGAGTCACTGACAGCGACACGGTTCTTTACTGAGCAGCAGTACCCATAACATAAAAAGGCGTATGTTTGGCAACGTAATAAAGCAGAGGGATAGAAACAAGAACATATTCACGCTGCGACTTTCTATAGCTCGTACTCACCTAGCGAAGACCGAAATCGGCTAACTTGATCACACCACTGTTGTCAACGAGTAGATTCTGAGGTTTCAAGTCGCGGTGTAACACTCGGCGTGTGTGACAATACGCAAGCGCTTGAAGAAGCTGCCACAAGAAGCTCTGAAAGTAAGCTGAAGATCATACTGTTATGGCAAACAAATTATGTAGGTCACTGATTACGTGGGGCGAGCAATGGAACAACGAATTCACAGGAATCGTTGCTTAATTTTGCCATCCTACTAATCACCCTCCTACTTCTGCAACTTGGCAGTTAACTATGAGACGCAACAATATCCAACAAACTTGCTCAGTACAACTGTAGTTCTGACAAAACCGCTCTGGGACCTGTGCATGGTATAGCCTAGTTCGCTGGGGTGTACAAGGCGGGATGAGTTTGGAGCGGTGCCAAACCCGTTGTGACAAGACTGTATCGTTCGTAGCACTCGTTCCCTACCAAGTTTGCATTGCATACACGATTCAACAACTGGCAGAAAACGGGTGGCGCCACGGCACATCCATACTGCCTGACACGCCCTTCACCCGCTGCCAACTAAAGTATGCTCAGTTTCTGAATATGTTTTGGCGTTGCCCCTTATTGTGATGATGATAATAATCTAGCATGATATCTACTTAAATTTCGGGCCAAACTTATGCATTGAAGGCAGTTGGCACGATGGTTTCCTACTTAGCATGCTAGTAGGGCGCTGTATAGTGGGGAAATGGCGAAAGAACGGAGTGAAACGGTCAAAATCCTGCGAAGAAAAAGCCTCCGTTCTCAGTGACTTGTAAATCGATTTCGGACGAGTTTCCCGTAGGCATCTTACCAATCACCGCTACCGAAGATACGGCTGCATATGTGTACCCATGTATGCATGCAGCATCACGGCCGCTTCATACCAATCCCTTCGCTTCATAATCCTAGCAACATGACATGCAATACGAGCTCAGGAACGCGTCTCCCACATTTTGCGGCGGCCAAGCCGTTGCGGGCGTTTGGGACGTAAAGTTGTGGCTTGATAGGCCTTATAAGGGCACCTTCCTCGGGGAAACCGCTATGCAGCGCGGGTCGCGGAATTCTATCCTGCCAGGAGTATTGATCCTAGTCGTCTTGGGGGATTTATCGTGGCAACTGCCTTTAAATGGCCCCCTACCAAGGATGTTTAGAGAGCCTCCGTGCTTCGAGACTCAAACGATTCTGTTGCTCCAATCGAGGCGAATGAACCGTTTGAACAGCGAATATAAGTGCACTCACAAGGGGAAGGGGAGCAGCTGTTATGTGACGTAGCAGTGGGAAAACAGTAGACAGGACCATCAAAGGCGAGTAAGCTTCAAATAAGACCCCACGATTGGAAGAATGTTGGAAGAAGCGAGACGCGAGTAAAAACCATAGAATAAAGGATAAGAGAACGGGAAGACAAGCTGAAAGACGAGATACCGTAAGTCGATCCAACATGGAATGAGTGTAAATACTACCTGTATTTATGAATATGGGACCGCCGACACATCTCCTCCCGATATGTGGTGCATCTTTAACTTACGGTGAGGGGTGACGTACCTTTGGTCCATGACGGCCGCAATGCAGTGAACACTCACCGTGGTGTCACAAAAGTGTGCCAACCAGAGAACTCTTGGTTATGGCGAACATTTGCTTCAAAATTAACCGCCTTCAAAGTCCGTCAAGCAAAGGAGCCCTTTCTAGTGAAGAATCAAAAGATTAAATGGCGGCCAGGGCAACCGAAGGGGGAGGCATGCCTCGAGTTTCGCCAGGTCAAGTACGATTCATCTCTCAATCCAGCGAGCAGATACTCCCGCCTCTGCTTTGGGGAATCTCAACGCGGATAACTTCTGATATCGGACCGGACCACTTGATGGTGATTCTACAAAAGAACTCTACGAGTCAGGTAATCTCGGAATGCGTCTTCAATTTCGTCTTTTCGTAATGCTGAGAGCTACAGTTTGAGCTATTTCTGCGAATACAAACTACTAAAAGAAAGATCATGTATGCAACTGAAGTAACAACCATACTTTAGCATGTTCTGCAGGTAGTTGTTTCCCAGGTAAGCCATCAAGAAGCGATTTGAGGTCACGGTCGATAAACTCAAAC